TCCCCCTAGATCCCCGCCTCCCTTCCCTCCCCCCGACTTCCCAGAGCCCATACATGGTATAACTTTTTGACAATCACAGTCTAAAATATCTCTACATTGAACTCAATTGCTAGAAATTTTTAAGGAGAGACTAGATAACTATTTGTCTGGAATGGTATAGTCCAGTGTTGGCGAATCTTTTCGGCACCGAGTGCTGCAACAGGGGCTGCACTTTTGATTTCTGGCGCATGCATGCATACTGGCCACCTAGTCTTCTGGTGCATAGACCAACTGGTCAGTGTGCTGGTGTGTGCCAGAAACTGATAGAGCAGCCGCCGCCTGGTGCGCATTCATGCACCAGGAAGATGATCATCTAGTTCCCAGCGTGTGTATGCACACCAGCCACCTGGTCTTCTGGTTTCTGGCATGCATGCGCACATGAAGACCAACTGGCCAGTGCACATGTCTGGAAGATCATCTTCCCGGCAAGCGCATGCGCACCGGGCAGCTGTTGTTCCTGTTTCCAGCACTCCCATGCACTTGAAGACCAGCTGGCCAGTGCGCCGAAACCCGAAAGAGCAGTGGGCGATGGCTCACATGCCTGGAGAGATGGCTCTGTGTGCCACTACGTGATATAGGTTGGCCATTGTGGTTAGAGGCTCTTCTGCTTCAGCAGGGGTTGGATTAGAAGACCTCCAGAACCCCTTCCGACTCTGTCATTCTGCATTTCTGCTCAAAGTTCTTTAATTTCCCCTTTGTTAAATGTACTTACTATGCATTATTAAATTCATATGCTGCCCATCTCACTCTACAGAGTTGTTTGGCCATTTCATCCATGTTTAGCTGTAAAACGAGCCTTGTCACCTTCCTCCGCTTCCTGCAGAGTTACTATTTTTTTTCCCCTCTTTCAGTTTCGCAATTCGTTGCACCTGTTAATGGAGACCCTGAATGCTACCACTCCCCATTATGTTCGGTGTATCAAGCCCAACGATGAGAAGCTGCCTTTCAGGTAAGCATTGCTTTCTGGTGAGACCGGAGATTCTGCAACTTGATGAAAGACAAAGGGCAAAGAGATTGTGAAATATGTGTCATGAAAACAGTTAGTCCTTGACTTATAACAGTTTGTTTAGTGACTGTCCAGAGTTACAACAGCACTGCAAAAATTGACTTATGACCGTTTTTCACATGTATGACCATTGCGGCCTCCCCATGGTAAAAAAAAATTCAGATGCTTGGCAATCAACTCCTATTTATGACGGTCGCAGTGTCCCGGGGTCATGTGATCACCTTTGGTGACCTTCTGACAAGCAAAGCCAATGGGGAAGCCAGATTCACTTAACAAACATGCTAGTAATTTAACAACTGCAAAGATTCACTTAACAAGCGTGATCAGAAAGGTCCGAGAAATGTCATAAAATCAGATGAAACTCACTTAACAACTGTATCACTGAACCACAGAAATCTGGGGCTCAATTTGTGGCTGTAAGTTGCAGGCTACCTGTTCTGATTTGGTACCTTATGAACCCTTAGCTGTCTTCACACAACCCCCTTAACTGGGATAGTCATGAACCTTGTGACTTTATGGAAGATGCCCAAATTAGCCAGTTTTAACTTTAGCGTACTTATACCAGTGGTAGTCAACCTGGTCCCTGCCACCCACTAGTGGGCGTTCCAACTTTCCTGGTGGGCGGTAGGGGTTTTGTCCAATACTGAAGCACTTTCTTTTCTTTTTTTTAATTTAATTGACTTTTTAAAAAAACTGTCATAGCATTATTTAAAAAATTTCATTAGGTTTTCAGAAAATCACCATTACTGTGGAACCGGTGGGCGGTTAGAAAATTTTACTACTAACAGAGATACAAAAGTGGGCGGTAGGTATAAAAAGGTTGACTACCCCTGATCCACACGATTGAGACAACCGCTTATCTCACAGCGGTGAGTCCGTGAAATATTTGCTGCTTAGTATGTTATGTCAACCGTATTCTAATTATAAGCCNTGTCTCCGCGGATAAGGGCTTCGCAGTTTTGTCGTGCCACGGACCACGGAGACCCCTTGGTGGTCCGTGAGACAATTTTGGTGGTTTGCAGAAAAATTATTTGCATTTTTTATATTGCACTAAACGCTATTTATCTTTTTTTAAAAAGAAATCATATTAGTGGTCTGCAGAATTTAAAATTATGAATTTAGTGGTCCCTGAGATCCAAAAGGTTTGACCCCTGCTCCATAGTATATACTCTGCTTCTGCAACATCACACTTGACCATGCTCTGTCGGCCCACCCATGCTCCTGTGCCTGTCAGCACTCCATACCACACATCCACACTTCTGTAGTGCCTGTCCATAGTGCCCATCCAGGCTCTGTAGTGCCCACCTGTGGCACTCGCCTTCCGGTTCATGCAGTTGTTGATATTACAATTGCACCTTTCTTCTTCTCTATACAGGTAGTCCTTGACTTACAACCACAATTGAGCCCAATTTGTTAAGCAATTTTTTCCTCTTTTTACGACCTTTCTGGCCCCCATTGTTAAGGGAATCATTGCAGTTGTTAAGTTAGTCACACGGTTCTTAAGTGAATCTGGCTTCCCCATTGATTTGGCTTGTCCGAAGGTCGCAAAAGGTGATCCCTTGACCTTGGGTCACAGCAACAATCACAAGTATCTGAAGTACCTTCAAAACATCTGCATTTTGATCGTGTGTTCATGGGGATGCTATGAAGGTTGAAACTGTGTGAAACGGCACTTTTTTAGTGCCATCGTAACTTTGAATGGTCAGTAAATGGATTGTTGTAAGTTGAGAACTAACTTTAAATAATATTCAGTATTGATATAGGGCTTGCAAAAGTTATCTCAGCATCCAGCATTTGCAAATGAAGAGATAATAAATATAAGCATCCAAAACATCAGAACATAAAAAAATGAAAGCCAAATGATTATTAATACCAAATAAAGGGCCTCTTGTTTAGCCTTCATAGGAACAGACTAGATAGCACCTTGATCTGAACTAGTAGCATTTTGAAGTTTTGCTATCGTTCACTGAAACTGAAATGTTAGAAAAATACTTTCCGTTTCCCTTCATGGGGACACAAAAGAACAGCAAAACAGTCACTGGGGATGTTGTCCTTTCATTGTAGCCCTTTGATGTGCATGTGATGTGGCCTTAAACAAGAAATACAGACTTAAGGGTTGTTGTTTTTAAAGATCTGTAGGGCGCGTTCAGTGTTAAAGCTTTCCAGTGATAACTGTGGTGGAATGTAGTCTGGATTCCCAGGAGGGAGGGGGTGCATTTCAGAGGAGTAAGAGACAACTCGGGTCAGATGGTTCTCGTGAGCGAATGAAGGGGGAGACAGCTCTTCCCTAATAGTTCCCAGAGTATTTGCTTTATGGAATGGTAGAATGCTTTAGTTTGGCAGGACTCTCTGTCTATGGGTGAGGAACAGTAAATAAATCAGCTGGGAAGAATCAGAGTGGGTCTTCTTAGTTTTGGGAGCCTGATATAATGGAGGAATTTAAAATTCGTTTTGTAGGAATCTTTACCGCAGGGTTTCCTGGTGGTTTTCTTGTCTCTTGAGATAATTACATCACTGCATCTTATTTGATTTAAACTGAAAAGGCCAGTTTCAGTTTGGATCGTTGCACAAGAGTAGAAGATAACTTAAAACGAAAGAGAGAGAAAAAGCTGTCATCCCTGAAAAACAGCAAAAAAAATCCACTTTAGGTTTAAAGCAGCTGTTCTCAAATTAATGAATATTGGAACAGGAAGCTGATTCCAAACCAGTGTTATTGGGGGGGGGAGTATAAACATCAGATATACAACTGTAAGGCAAAGATAACTTATTTTACGCAAGTTTTTATCAGTTAAAACAGTGCAGAGTCCCAAAGTGATTTATATACATTTGTTGAACAAAGATGTAATCGTGTCATAATGATAAAAAGGAGTGGATTGTGATGACATTTGTGCTCTAGGAAAGATTAAGCCAATTAACTGACAGGGTGAAAATATCAAAAGAACCGGATGAAGGAAATGCAGAGGTACAAAGTGTAACTTCCTGGTAAGAAATGGACACGGGAGAAGAGAATATTCTGGGTTCTTGGGAGGAAGTTGATGTGTATCAACACCACCGAAAGACCCACAGCTATGATTTCATATTGTTGTGTATAGAATCACCTGCCTGAAATAATCTGCCTGACTCAGAGGCGGTATTCAGCAGGTTCTGACCAGTTCTGGAGAACCAGTAGTGGAAATTTTGAGTAGTTCAGAGAACCGGTAAATACCACCTCTGACTGGCTCCGCCCCCCTCTATTCTCTGCCTGCCGAGTCCCAGCTGATTGGAGGAAATGGGAATTTTACAGTATCCTTCCCCTGCCACGCCCACCAAGCCATGCCATGCCAACCAAGCCACGCCCACAGAACCGGAAGTAAAAAAAAAATGAATCCTACTATACTGGCCTGACTCCCAAGAACTCTGAACGGTTTACAAATTGTTGAAAACATTTAAAAACAAGAAAATAGCACAAAGCAAAGGGAATAAAGATGGCAGAGAAAAGGAAGGAAAAGAAGGGAAAAAGAGAGGAGAGGGGACGAGGGAGGAGAGGAAAGGGAAGGAAAGAGAAGAGAAGAGAAGGGGAAAGGAAGAGGAGGGAAAGGGAAGGGAGAGGAGGGAAAAGGAGGAGAGGGGAAGGGAAGTTATTGTCAACTTTACTAGGCAGACCCGACAGGAAACGCAGCCAGATAAACTAATACTTGAGAGACCGCCTGCTGCCAATTACCTCCCACAGACCCATTAGATCTCACAGGGTTGGCCTCCTC